GCCTCAGGGCACCTACAGTCGTTTTACACTGTCTTGTGTGGGACCTGTACGTTTAAATGATACTCAAGATTGCAGGGAAATGTGTGTGAACTTCGCTTTTTAGGTTCGTGTGTTCTTTCAGTAGCCGGCTGATGCCAGTAATCATGTATTTACATGAGAGTGTTTAAGAGACCGCTGCCCCGTGTGTCGATGTCCACTGGAGTGAGGTACTTGCACCTCGAGGTTGATTGCCCTGAACTTTTTTTGTAATTTTTCTGTAAACGAACTCACATAACACGTGTTGCAATGTTAATACCCTGCTAATGCACAATACTGAGCTATTTAAAAGCATTTCATATCCTCAAAACATGCTATCCTATAGTTCGTTTTAATATTATCTTTACTTGCTGTCTACTCGGTGTGTATTTGTTATTTCCACCCCATCCAAACGTTCAAACAACAGAAATAGTTAAGGGTTGGTCCAAAGAGAGGATAATTCTAAAATGGCCAGGCAAATTATTTGTTGGAGTTTCGCTTCTGTGGCGATGATTATGTCTCTCGGGAGGTACCACCATGAAGTAGTTTACCGACGTTTCAGTGGAACGTACTGTCTTCGTTATCAAAGTAATGGTTCCAGTTACTCTGGAACGTCGGTCAATATCTACGGTGCTATATCCCAGGAGACAGTCATCTTCTGGATATCGGTTATTGAAATTATTGAAGTTATAAAATAATAGTCCGACTTTATTCTTTAAGAGATGGATTAATGTTAGAAAGATGAAATCAAGAAGGCAAAATGGGTGTGGAATGTAGTACACATTAGAGATGCATACCAAAATTTGCTTGGAAGTCGTGAAGAGAATAGATCATTCTGGAGACAGACGTAGATGGATTAAGACTATTAAAATGGATTTTAAGGAAATGGGGTTGGAAGGTTTGAATTGGATTCATGTGGCTCAGGATAGTGAACCTTTGGGTTCCATAGAAGGCGGAGTAAGTAAGTGACTGTCAACTTCTCAGTTAAGACTCCGATCCGTAGAGTTGATTACTACGTTTCATTCTTCTCCTTTCTACATGTCTCACCCAGCACATTCGTCTTGATTTAGTTTCTGTTGAAAGTATTAACTGAATTGTACAAGTAGTGAAGTTCTTTACTCTTTCTGTGCTACTGAATAAAATATATACGTGTGATATTATAGGGACCACCACAAAGTGGTTGTATATTATCATCCTTGAACCTTGCTCTTTGTATGCCATACTAGAAAAGTTATGCTTATAAAATAAACATCTGCCATTCGGCTTCTTCAGACACAAAGAAAGAAGCATTGTGTCTGGTTGGATGTGAAGTTCGCATTATTTTATCAAATTGAAGCAGATATATATATATGATAGAGACTTGAAGATACATGCTAGTAGCCATGGAATGAAGGATATGAAGGAAAAACAAAGATACGTTCGAGAATGTGCAATGAGAGAGACGGAGAATGGCATTGTCCTCGGGAAGTAAAAGAAAAAGAGAAACTATCGAACGGAACGCATATGGACATTACATCCGTTAGTGTTTTGTTTTTATTGATTTAGAGATAGTAAATGAACAGTTTCAGCCGGAAAACCTGAAGGGTAGAGAAGGTTTAGGAGTAGACCTGCATGTAAATAATATTTAAATTGACCTTAAGCAGGGAGTGATGGTGTAGATTTAATTCAACTGTCTCAAAATAGGATCCACCGGTGGAATTATGTGATTAAAATGACGTGATGTAATTTTGTTGTCTGTAAATTATAATATATTACTCCCTACTTAAAAGAAAATAACACGTTACTATCACAATTATCACTTTGTTGGTCTGACATTATCATGGTAACCATAACATTCACTTTCTACTTTGAAGAAAGCGTTGTCATTACAATGATCTTTTAGTTGATAACTTGACTTCAAGAAAATGATTTTATGTGAAGTGGTCGTTAAAATTGTCTGAGTCACTTGAAAAGTAAAATGGATTCATAATTTTTCGTAAAGAAATGTCTTTATACGATGTGTCAATAAATTTAATAGTGTACCGAAGTTGGCCTTAAGATGACCTTAAAGTGAACGATGAAGGTCTCTATGTGACTGAATATCAATTGTTCGGACAAGTTGAAATAAAGCAACAAATGTTTTACCGCTATCATTTATTACAAAGCACACTAGTTTCATGTAACAGACATAGGAGCATTGGCAGGTCGGAATTTGCAACTGTCAGCGTATAGACACTTCTGAAAAAGTTGTAAGCTTTACAAGGTTTAATTTACATAGCAGAGAAATTAAAACTTCCAGCTTATATAACTGAACATTTCATAACTTATGAAGGACACCGATAAATTGCTTTCTGCATCAAAGTATTATGCACTAAATGTGCATGGTGCCGTGGAGGTAAATATTCACCTATTCATTCTTTCGGCGTTAAATATATGAGAGGTTATTTTCGTATGGTTACGTCACTTCACCCCTGAGAAGCCATCTCCAGCAACCATGGAACGGACCCACGTGATCAAACTCTATATGTCTAGTTTATAATGAGACAGTTTACTGACTGAGCCGTCATGCCTCATATTAATATATAAAAAGTATAAATTCATTGTTTATATTGCTTAATTGATTTTTTAATAAATCTATGATGGTTTTATCTGCGGAGTGTAACATTTAAAATGAAACTAAGCAGCAGTTAACGTACTAGATCCACTCCTGTTTAACAGATATTCTGCAAGCCTTTAACGTAACTCTTAAGTCAAGGTCATCCTTCTTAATAGACCGCTGGTCACTGCGCAAATGCTGTGAAGGTGGGAATATGGTGTATTATTGAACATTACTTCGCATAGAAATCGTTTGTTGCTGTCTTAGCGACAAAGCAGCTTAAATTGCTGTCATACGATTTCAAACAGTGCATCAGTTGCAACAATGGGAAAAGGCTGTAAGAATTTAATATTTTAATTGGTGTTGTAATTTTGTGTGTGCTAGTAGAAGGGTTACGTTTAAAATAAATATAAATATACACCACGCATTGAAACTAATTTCTTGTTTAAATGATTCCAGGAGGCATTGAGTAGAAGGTAAGATGTAAATGTTTTATAACGCTTCTGAATAATTTATGTTAACCACTTAAATCTCTTTGACACCAGATTGACATTTCAGGTTTAGAGGCTCAGTTCTAAAGTCGACGTTGATAGCTGTCTGTATTCATTTGCCATCTGTTGACCCAATTCTGAACTAGGTACTCTCAGAACTGTTCTTATTGAAATTCTTTTGTTAACCGTGGATTGTGGTCAGTCAGTTGCAAGTGTGGAGAGGATCAAATGATATTTTGATACAAAATCAACGGGTTGATAACAGATGTTACGCGCCTTACTTTTTGGACATACTCGGTACAAATTCCGTTGGTTTTCTCGTGCATACCAGCAGATTATCTTAGGCCTCGAGCCTTCTTGATACAGCGTCGCAAGAAAACTAGTTTCGTGGTACAGGATTTGTTAGTTTCCCATATGATCAAGGAATTGCTTTTATGGAATGCTCACAAAGCATTCGTAAAAGAATGAGTTCACTTGATCAGAAGACTTGTATTATGTTGTTCTTAAACCCTTTTCATTGCTGCTGCTGGGATATTTTTTTTAATATACTAACCCTTCATGTCAGAATTTAGTTAATCGTTTAATGAATGAAAGGGATTTCCTGCAATCTCTAAAATATTAAAGCTAACTAACTGTGACTATATCTACGTGTCTGGCTAATATTAGCACATTTCGATACCTTTAAGTGTTTGAACAAAAACGGAAACTAATATTTCTGTGTTATAGTTCAAGTGCGGGTTACCACTTCATAAGCGGAGTACAATGAAACGTTTATGGCATTACAATACAATTTATTACATTTGGAAATGTTTAGTTCAAGTGATTTAAATACATTTTTGCTCCTGTTAAATTCTGGAAGAAGATAAATTTGCCCCAGCTTGTTGAGTCTTGATGGCGGCCTCCAGATATGGAGGACAACCGACAGAGGGTGACCCTCCAGCTGTAGGGTTTGGCGGGGAGGGGCTAACAACCATATTCCTTAAGAAACCAGCATGCTTTGAAATGTTACTGAGGGCCAAGAACTTGGACGGGTTCATTCGTAAGTACTGGTAACATTAGAATCATCAAACGAACATTAGCATTTTGTCAGACCTTCTCTTACCGCGATCGAGTTCTGTATTTTTCTCTAGTCACTATATTCTAGAATAACATATATTCCGACTTCTGTGTTGCTACCCTGGTACATTTGAAAAAAGTAAAAAGTAAAGCTGTCCCACTATACGCCATGTAGGCGCTTGGGGGGGGGGGAGTGTATAACTCCTACTCATTCTTAACCTCGGCACTAGATGGCGGTGAGAGATCAGCGTCACGCCCCGGCCTCGCTTTACCCCCGGGAAAGGACCCCGGTACCCATTGTAGAGGAGGCTGGGTGGGCCCCAGAGCCAGTCTGGACGCAGAGGCTAGAGGAAAAAAAATTCTCTGCTTCCGTCGGGGACCGAAACCTGGTCGTCCAGTTCATAGCCAGTCACTATACCGACTGAGCTACCCCGCCTCGTTACACTGCTACAGCCTTGAATATTATTTTATAGACCCAGACTGGACACAGTGGTGACGAAGAAAAAATTCCTGCTTCTAATAGTGAAGGGGAAATTTAACTTTCTTTCTTGTGCTTTCGTGGTTGTCAACTTTTCATATGTTCCTTGTCCTAATTGGTATGAAATTGCTCCTTATGATTATTTACCTTCACAGAAATTTATCTTGATCGCAATTTATAAAAATAGGTTTCTAGATGTTGATGTGGGAGAAATCTTGCATAAAATGGGACAATGAATGTATATAAAAAAAATACGAATGGGATATAAAATAAAGTGTGATAATATAGACAGATAGAAAGAACAAGAAACAGAAGATAAACGCAACAATTCACTGAACAAGTAGGGGAAATGGAACGGGGAAACCAAAAAACGGTGATTAGAAGATGCGTTAGTATTCCATGAGCTTATTTATTTTCGTTCGCCACATTGTTCAAAGACATAACCGAAGTTATCAAAGTTTATTACACTTTAAGAATAGAACAACAAAATTAACATTAGTCTTCCATTAGCAGCAGATAGTTGTCAGTGATTTCCAAACTGTGGTTCGCGAAACGATTGCGGATATACAATATATTTATTTCTGTCAAAAACAGTTATTAGCTTGTCCCAGCCTTAATATATTCAGATCCACTTAAAATTCCTTAAAGTGTATTTTTATTTAGCATTCAGCAATTATATCACAGTGTCTTCCTTGAAACGCTGATAGTTTCTCAGCTATTCAAGATGTTACCTGTCTGTATGGAACCCAAAGGTTCATAATCGTGATCTCATAAACTCGCCATTGGGCCTCGTTTTGAGTCAGAGTAATTTATTTCACACCTTAAAGTCTGATTTCGGTATTAGCTTGTTGCATATGCGTAGGTCTTTCAAGGTACCTATTTATAGGTATTTATTGTTTAATTTTCATTGAAATTTAATATTGCCGGTTTCGCGGAACACAGGTTGGGAATCGCTGGATTATTGCGTCAGTTATTTAGACGATCGTGGTGACGTTGCCTTTTCCAGCAGTACTGTCTTCGTCTGCAAGCTTGCAAGGCCGGCTGTTAATATGTAGTCCGTCGCATTACCTTCTCTCAGTTAATGCACTGATAGTAGATCAGCAATTCTCAAGCAGAAATTTGCCTTCACAACATTAATTTCTAACCTTATGGTATGGATGTTTAAAGATGATTTTAAAAAACCTCTATTATTGTATGTAAAACATTATATTTAGGGTAAGCAGAACAAATAAATCCCGAAATTGGGATAAAAATCAAAATGACTCTTATAATGCACTGACAAAACAATTTCGTGTTAATGTAGTTTATTTTTCATAAAAGATAAATGCTTGAAATTAACCAGGGTAGCATTCCTCTGTTTTTTTAAAGTGCAGGGGTTTATTTTAAAGACAGTAACGTCAAATGTGGACAGAATAGCAGAAGGAAAAGAGTGGGATATGAGCGTAGAACTTAAAATGTAAGGTACAGAGTTTGCCCCTTAGAAATCTGAGGAAAGGAAGATACAAAATTATTTGTTATAATATTAAGAATTCCCTAAATTATTAAATGTATTAATTCTGTATTGAAATTTTAGATCTATCATCAAATAACGAGAATGGCCTCATAATGTGATACGTTTTAATTTCAACCAGAAACCCCCTTGAGGTTTTATTTTTAAGACTACACCCGTCAAAGTAACGATTCTGATATTGACTTATTTTGTAATGAATTTATTCAACGTTGTTTGCGAGTGAACTCACTTGGAAATTGTTCTAGTGTAGTCGTTACATATGCTTTATGTTGCTTACGTCCAGAGTTTGAATTTTCACGCGGAGACTGGCTGCCATTACTTGAGAATGTTTAGTTGTATTCCCTGATCACTTAAGGTTAATGCCAAAACTGCCTTAAAATAGGCCACTTTTGCTTTCATGTCAGTCTTAAATTTCCACGCGTTTCGTTTTTAATCTGATGCAATGTTTGCCATACATCATTTATATTCGTGTAAGAACTAGAAAGGGTTACTTAGTAAACATGAGGTTTGAGGTTTCCACGGCCGTAGAAATTTAAATTCTGGTCTTCTGGCTTTTGACATCATTTTATCTAGTTAGTTACCAGCGTTTCGGACAAACATACTACCTCTGTCTTCAGGCTCCAATTCACTTTAATCCTGAATATGGAGTTAGTATATTTATCCGAAACCACTTACGGTAATATACTATGTCAAAACGCAGAAGACTGAAATCTAAGTTGTTTAATAAAGGGAATGCGACTGATTTGTTAGAGTTATGTAATTATACCAGCAAGACTTGTTCCTAGGTACAGGCTATTTTAGTCTTAGAAAGTACACCATGAATTCTTGCAGCCACCCCACTGGTTGCGCTGTCGTGACAAGTGTCTGCAATATGGCGGGCGACTTATCCTTAGTCGTTAAAAGATAGGGCTACTGCCATGGCAAAGAATCATCACGAAAGCAGCAGAAGGAAGATTTGGTCCCATACACAATGCACGTGAAGCATAATATCGTGTTAACGATAAACATGTATCAGGATTTTAGATCAGAAAGCAAGGTTACTAATATCTTGACACGATCTGCTAAACACAGCTGAATTCTTTTCACTGCTGTTTCCACATTTTTATTAAATTTAAACTAGAAAATTTCCCATCAAGAACGAAGGAAAAATCTAAATTAGTACTTAAAGAAACACCTTTTTATTTTAAAGCGTAACAAAGCAGCATATAAAATTTAAAATCATTATTTACCTTTGCTTGAATTGAATTAATTTAATAGTACAATACGATTTAATGACCGCAATATCGAATATGTTCTAACTACATACATATATGTATATGTACATATTTGGCCTCCCTAAACACCATTACCATGGAAAAGGTTATAATATCATCCCATAAAGCTCAAAAACCTTTAACAGTAAATGATCACCATACCATCGCAAGGGCTATCATAAAACACAAATTCAAAAATATTATAACATAAGGCCCAAAATTCCTTAAAACCAAATGGTCACCAACGAACACCGTTTATTATACAGCAGATCTATGGACTTCCAGAAATGTTATTTCGTCTGTTTCCAGCGTAAAAGCAATTCCTGGAAAGACGAAACTCAGGACGACGTGGAAAAAGCAGTGAAAATGGATTCTGAGATACCAGGACACTGTATTCTATGCAAGGATGATGATCAAACGCATCATTTTGTATGATAAATGTAGCTCCAACTGAATTATTTTTAGGTGTACAATTATTTGTATCGTACACTGACGTATTCACATAGAAGATCCACTGAACCACTCAAATTTCCAATCAACCTTTTTGTTGTTTATATTAAGATTATAATGTTTATAAATGAAGTAACAGAATGAAGCACAAATATTTATATATATATGTAGCGTTTAGAGGGGAGCAGATAAACGAATTGTCTGCAATTTTTAATAAAAATTTGTAATAGCACAAAAAATTATTTTAGATAAGAATAAAAATATATGGTTACGTCACGGAAAGACTACGTTTGTAGCAGCATGATATATGTGTTTTAAAAAGCACTCCCCCCCTAAATTAAGTCTTAAGCCATACGTTTATTCCCCAAATTGATAATTATTTATTTTAACAATTTGTAAACAGAAGCTGTGGTTATGGTGATTAATTATTCTTTCACTTAACACTGGTTTTTAAATTGGGTCTACGTAGACTTATTTATGTATTTCCAGATATAGGATTAAATACTGTAAAAGTAAGAGAAATAATAACTAAAGTTTATGTAGAACTTACTTGAAGTGCACAGAAAGTCGTCTCGTATAATCTGTGGTCACATTCATTGTTTATGCAGACAATTGTAAACTTTATAAAATATGGACAGAATTAGTCATTATCCAGTTTCCATAGCGACGACACTTAAAAGGAAAATGAAAGATGCAATGGGCTGTCCTTCATAACATTTACCATTATCTGCAGTGCAACTTTTCTCGTATTTTTAATTCTGTATTTGTATGAATCATAAAATAAAAGAAGCAAATTTTATCTTGCATTATCACTGTTGATGGTAGTATTGTCCAAATTTCTGGATAATAACCGCTGTATACATTAAAACATATTTGTTTGGCGAAACACGAATATACAATTAACAAGGAAAAATATTTCCCGCCAAACTTTGACTGTGCATTACAAATGGAGGTAATTACTCGTAGTAATTAAATGATAAGGAACTTCATTAGTAAATAATTCAGAATATCATATTACAATGATATTTCTGATTTAAAATAGAGCAGAATTAAGAATATTCTCTGTATATAGGACTGACGTGGTATTATAATAAATGTCTTTCCAAAGACTATTAAAACTTATCAGTGCCAATGATCTTTGTAATCATAATATCGTGGGTTTGGACTCCCTCCTGAGCATGGAGGAGGCAGGAAACCTTTGCACCAGTTTGTCACTATGCATCACAGCTTTACAAGAGATGTCCCAGCATATCCATAACATGGTTTGCGAAGTATCGCAATAAGTTTTAAAATGTAAAAATATTTGAATCTCTTATACGTTTTTAAGTGGAAGTTCCAATCCTTCATTTTTTATCTATTCTATTATGTAGGGGGATGATAATTTTGTATGTTTATTATTCGGTTTTGTAGTTTTTAATGTAAATTGTGACATTATTAGAGTTTGTTAAAGATAGCAGAATTCATTTGATGGAAATTCCGTTCCTCATGAGGCTACAGTCATGTAGGTAAAACGTAGTAAAATGAGAGTCGTCCATGCCACGAAAGGTATTAAAAATTGTGTCCAGTGTCCAGGTGTGTATTAGGTTGGAAAATCACTGGTGTAATGTAAAGTTATGTCCGTGCTTAATTAAGCATCACGCTGTGAAAACGTATGGGGGAGTAGAGATATTCCATGATTACTTAAACTCTAATGCGAATGGTCAGATTCCTATTCCCAGGCCTCGTGTTCCTCGGGGAAGCAGGCCACAGGTGTGGACGCGGTGACGAAGATAAAAATCCCTGCCCCTATCAGCTATCTGAGCCTGGTCACGAGATAAATATCGGAGTCGTGGAAATGCCGGATTTCTGCAGACAAGAAAACTTGGCAGCACGGAATTGCCACTTCGAGTTTACAGAGAGAGGAACTTGGCAAGTGCGTCATAAATGACCCTGGGGTTAATGGTGCCGTCTGCCGTGTAACGGACGCCTCTGAGGCTACCGTCGTCGTGGCTCACGACGCCATACTCGCCCACGATGAACCCGTCAGGCGTCCTCTCTTCCACTTGGTATTTGCGGAAGTTTCTGCCCTCAACTACATAACCGAATTTGGAATTCGGATCGTTTGACTGTCCTTGTTGAGAACTGAATGAGGGGTCTGTCGTTGTTACAGCCGGAAACCGAACTCCATTGGCTCTTCCGTTCGTCATTACACTCACAGCTTCATCCACTTCGTAATTCTCCTCTGGAGTTCCATAACTTCTCTCCGGCGTACCGTAGTTTTCTTCTGGGAGCTCGTAGTTCCTTTCTGGAGGTTCTTGATGATTGATGTAACTCTTCTGAATACGACTATTTTCTCCTTCGCTTTGCTGACTCGCAGTTTGCCTGTCGGCATCAACATTGCTTTGCGGTCTGCTCGTTTGATAACTACTCTGCATGCGTGGACTGCTGTCTCCCGCTCTCTGGAAGACACTTGTCGTTTGTTCATGACTCTGGGGCTGCGGTTGTTCTGCGACCACTGCGCGTTGCACTGTCTCTGCTGTGGAAGTACCAGTTCTGTGGTAACTGGGCGGTTCCCTGTAGAATTGAACTCTGCTGTTTGATGTAGCTGTAGAGACACTGGTGTGGTAACTGACGGGAGATGACTGCGGATCAAATGGTGGTTCACTTGAGCCTTGAGAGTCGAAAGTACCGTGTCGAGACTGGACGTTAGAAGATGAACTTTCCTGGTGTATGGAGATTATCGACGAGGAGGGAGAGGATTCCTCTACGCTGAGTTGACTTCGCTGGACGGCTGTCGCTGCGGGCTGTTTTTCTGTTACTAGTGAAGCGCTCTCAGACGATGAACGACGGAATTCATCGTGAGGAAACGAATCCATGAAAGTGTTATAAATGAATCTGTTGTCACGGCCAGTTGTATTGCTTTGTTGTGCTGTTCCGAGGGCAACTGATGACGAGACGCGAACGGAAACGACTTTATGCGTCTCTTTCTCCGTTGTATCATCTTCGATTGCAGCCAAGCTGGACCAGTCCGCTGTATTTCCATCTTGTTTGCTTGAGGTCGGATTCGTGTAAAATGTTTTGTTTTCAGTAGGAACCTCACTTGTTTCAAAGTGATAACTGTCAGTTTCACCTGGTTCGTGTGAAATTATGTCCGTCGTCGTGTTATTGCTACTCGGACGTGTTGATATTTCATGTAGTTCAAAACTAACGGAGGGAGGAATATTTGATGACGTTGTGGAGTAAACATTTCTTTCGTATTTCTCTGTGTCGGGTTCTAAATCC